CAGACTTTATTGTCGTAATATTACGACTTTATTCTCAAAATCTCCTAATTTTTTTTTACTTCAATATGGCCCGAATACTCCCTCATACGTTAGCATGTTGTATTTGTAGGAAAAACATGTTTAGTATAAGACATTTGTTTTGTCAGTGAACCTTGTGAGTTGTAATGGAGCCGGATTTTGTAACATTACCTTTGTTAAATGTTGCTCAAATCATCCATTTGGACAGTGGGAAAAAAGATGACAAAAAAAGAGATGACGTGGGGAGTTTTTCTGCTCTGAGTTGAAGTTTTTCCAACTTGACGAGTTCAAAGCGCTCCGGCAAAAACACCAGGCGCCTAGAGCGCAGAAACACTGGGTGTGTAGCAACATAAAAAACAGCAAGCAAAAAGTTTCATTCTCATTAAAAACAATTACAAAAAGCCGCCTCCAGCTGCTGAAACACTTTGGGCCTTTGATAAAACATCTCTGAGGCTAAAAGCAGGTAGAAAGTCAAAAACAGAAAACCTATCCAGAACAGTCATCATTCTGAGGTTCAGGCATGAGAACACATACTTTAATAATTATTACTATTATTACAGTCCTTTTTTATCACTTGTTTTATGTCCCAGTGCAATGATTGTTTGTGACATACTGTTTTTGGCTTTGTGTGAACTCACCAAATGTAGATATGTGTGTTTTGGTGTGTTTTTTAAAATAGATTTATAGATTGAATTCTGCTGTCCTGAAGGAGTGGAAAGAGTTTCCAGATGCAGCCAGAGCTCTGGAGTTTGTTCCAGATTAACTCTTTGATAATCAGGTGTGAACAGGCTTCTGTTAGATCAGTCACAGTCTGAACTGTTCTCAGGTCTGTTAAACCCTCTGAAGCTCCTCAGGAGACTTCAGTGGTCACATTTTTTTTTTCTGAGCCTCTGAAAGTTAATCTGTGATTCAGTCGACAGCTGAGAGTGGATTTTTGGACTATTTGTTTTCCCCTCTTCATCTTTCCTTCTCTCTGTTTCTTTCTATTTCAATTAAAATGTGTTTTATTGAGTCGGCAGGAAGGAAACCTCTGGCTACGCTGTGATCTCCTCCTCTCCTCTCTCTGTCTCATACAGCTCAGTGTTTGATGACGGAGGCTCAGCTGCTTTTCATTTGTCCATGTTTGAAGGAGGAAGGAGCTCCTCATCTCTCCTCGGCTCTGGAACTGGAATATACTGCAGATATCTGAGTGTTCGTGTCATGTGAGGCACCAGCTGCTGACGAAATATGTAATTACAAGACGCTAATTGAGAATCTACATTAATTTATTCCGGAGAAGACAACAATCAAACTCAATTTTAGATTTAATGTGTGATTGTTTATCAGGATAAACTCTGACCAAAGCAGAGGCTGAATGTTTGAACTAAACTTTTACAAGAAGTAGCGACGTCTCTTTATTATTTAATAATTTAAAACAAGTTTGGGTGAGTTTGTTTTGCAATCATAAGGGAGGATAGAAGTTTTAAATGAGAAAAAAACAACTGACCTTTTGCTAAACAGCTGAAACTATGTTGAGACTTTCAAAGTGAAACCAGAACTTATAGGTTCTGTTTAAGAAGGAAACATCATTCAAAATCCCACTGACATTTGTAACACTAATAGTAACTACCGATCCAGTCCTGGAACAGAGACTCTCAGCAGTGTGTCAAATGGCTCACTTCATACATGTAGTTGGTCTCACCTGGCAGCTGTAGCTCCGCCTCTATTTCCTTCCATGCTTCGTTCTTCTTTACCCGATCATGGTCAGAGCTGGAGGACACGTCACAAGGCTTCACAAGGTTTTCCTCACATTTCTTTTAGCGCTTAATTTTGCCTCCATGGTGAGCTGCTGTCCGTCTGTTTGTTTGGGTCATTTCATGCTGCATTTCTATTGGTTGGTTAGCAGACGTTGGTGGTAACAGCAGTCACACTGTCAGAATTTTATCCCAGGGTACATAACTCCTTGAGATCAGGTGGAGAGATCCACCAGTCAGTGCTCTCAGCAGGAAATCCAGGGAGAGGAAGGTTATTTAAGTGTGGGAGTGGCCTATTTGAATCCCTTTTGTTTGAGACCATGCTGCAAGGTGAGTGTGTTTGCTGATCCTGTGAGTTTATCTATCTCCTTTAACTTTAGCTTATATTGTAGTTATGCTATGTAGCATGTGAAATAGAGTATGGTGAATGTGCTAGGAAAGGGTAGTATCAGCACTGTCTCTACCTGGAGCTTGCATATACGGAGCCTGGGTTTGTTGAAGGTGGCAGTGCTGTTTGGGCTGAGAAAGCCATGCGTAAGTAAGGTAAAGGAGGTTGTTGGGTTGGTGCAGGGAGCAGTGAGACCTGGCATTAGGGGAGTGTCTCTGGGACGCCAGAGATCACTGTCTAGCCTCCTGGAGGTGTCGTGGGACCAACTAGACGAAACACTGGTGAAAGGAGGTTCCCACCTGATAAGCCTTGCCATAATAGCTTATCACAGGGCTTAGGAGGTTATTTACTGAGTGCTGATCCTTTCTCTAGAGCACAGACTTCTTGTGTTTATTTTAAATGTCCTGAATATAGGGCTGTTGAGTTCAGTGTTTTAAGCAAATAATAGCCTGGGCTACTAGGGGTGTAACGGTACACAAAAATCTCGGTTCGGTACGTACCTCGGTATGCAAGTCACGGTTCGTTTTTTTTCGGTACAGTAATGAAAAAAATAGACAACTATTAAATATCTTTTACTTATTGGTAACCTTATTAAAACATACCACCACAGCAGTTAACTCTTTTTCACATTGTTTGAATGAAAATAGAAATATAAAAGTGAAAAATAAAATCCTGCTGTTTTTTTAACACATTTTTGAATGAAAAATATAAATATACATTTCTGCTTTAACAGTTTTACTCAATTAAAATAAAAAGTATAGTGCAGCTGGTCAGCTTTAAAGCCTGCTCAGATTCAGTTTTACTAGGAACTTACTTAGCTTTCCCACTTTGTTAAAGTGCAGTAAACAAAACATGCTTATATCTAAAGTGCAGCTTAAACAATTTTACTCAGCTCCAGTGGCGTTGGTTATTTCTTTAGCGCGATGGTCAGGGAAACGCTCTTTCTTTTTAAACGACGACGATATCGTAGTTTGCACCAGATTGCTTTTTCTAGTCGTGCCGGTTAACGTTCAAACTCGGGTGATGTCGCTTTAGATGCGTTAGCATGTTAGACGTGTTTCCAAGTACATACCCGACCGCTGTTCTGCAGTGTCGGCACACTGCTTTTGTCTTGTCAACTTGTTTATTTCCATCTTTGTATTTTACCCTGAAGCCGAAGTGTTCCCAAACGGAGGACTTAAGGTTTGCGGGTGGGTCTTCAGGTTTGTCAGGCTCACTTGCCATGTTGTCAAAATGCGAGAATGCGCTGCACAAAGTGAAAGCGGAGATTTACGGGACTCGGTCCGTAATTCAATTATGTCCGTCGGGGAACTAGATATTTTAAATGGTTCGGCTCGCAAAAACGGAATTAAAATAAAACAAAATAAAATAAAAATAATATCCTGCGCCCAATAATTCGGTACAGGGTCGTGCCGAACCGAAAGTCGCGTACCGAACGGTTCGACACAAATACATGTACCGTTACGGCCCTATGGGCTACTAATAGAAGTTTTACGGTAATTCTCTTTAAGCCAAATTCCTGTGTTATGTAACTTACAAATAGTAACATCAAACATTTTTTTTATTGTTTTAGCTGACAGGAGTGAAAATTATACATCATAATGTTTGTTGCAGTTTCAGAATGATGAAGACAGTTGATGTATGATGGAGGCTCGACAGAAGGATTTTTTCCTCTTAAATATCCAAATGTTTTTCCCAAATGACGTGCAGGTTTTTTTAAGGCAGGCTTCAAAAACAGCACATACAGCTGCAGTAAATGGTTAATGAAAATCTCTGCAGTGGAGCGTTCCCCCAGACCCCCTTAGATTTCTGCTGACCGCTAAACGTTCACGACGCCTGGTTCTGCCCGTCTGAAATGTGGATTCAGTGTTGGCACCTGTAGACGAGCACTAATGAGTCCTGGATCGAACGCTGTTTATCCAGGAGAGGAGAGTGTGTGAGGCTGCAGCAGACAGGTGTGTGTGAGGGGCAGACAGGTGGTGGTTTTCACCGTGGGCCGACTCTCTGACATTAAGCTGCTGATGAAGACAGACGGTGAAACCAGCCGAGAAAACATCAGTAAATGTTAAAGTTATGAATCAAACTGTCGGCTGTCATCGACCAGAAGGACTGACGGAGACTCAGTTTAGTTTCAGATTGTCTTTACTGTCAGACGAACGCGCCAGAAGAAGGAGGTATGAAGCAGGTTGTTCACTTCTGTGTTTGTGTGTGTGTGTCTGTGTGTGTCAGTGCAGATTTTACCAGCCCGCTGTGGCTACACATTTAGACAAATAAAGGCGTGTCTCCATTAGAGGCTTGGTCTGGTTCTGAGTTCTTCAGATGTATAAAACCAGGTTGTTGGCTACCTTAAATCGCATGTCCTTGATTACCCTGTAAGGTGTTTATGTTCCTTTAGTCTGTAAGGACAAATTATACTGAGTTTTTTGTTTTGTTTTTGTTGTTATTTATTCCCCCTTTTATCAAGGATCACACCAAGACTTTACCCTCTGATTTAATCCAGGGAGTTAAATTCCTTTATTTTATTTTATTAAACAGCATTTATATTTCAGCATTAAAATGGCTAAAAACACTGAGACCAATGTTATATATGTAGTTGAGTTGTGTACTGACTTTAAAGTTTCCAACAATGTTCAAACCCAGAGAAATCTGTCATTTTAATAAAGGACACAGTCCGTGTCATCCGTCACCTGTCAGTGGTGTCATAGTCTGACTCACAGGATGTACACTGTGGCTGTTAACCTGCAGTCGGGCCACTGATTTCAGCAGCCTCCTCTCGTCCTTCTGCTATCTGTGTGTTACTGTTTCAAAATCCCCTTCACCAGAAAACTGACATCCTCTCCTCTCCTCTCCTCTCCTCTCAGGTCGAAGGAGCTGATAAAGGACGCCATCTTGGATAATGACTTCATGAAGAACCTGGAGCTGTCTCAGATCCAGGAGATCGTGGACTGTATGTACCCGGTGGATTATGGGAAAGACGCCTGCATCATCAAAGAGGGCGACGTGGGCTCTCTGGTCTACGTGATGGAAGGTGAGCAGAGCTCGTCACAGTCGGGCTTGTTTTGAGTCTTGCCTTGATAATGAGGAGTCTTTGTCTCAGTGTTTCCAGTCGGACTTGTGAGGGATTCAGTTTTCTTCATCTTGAGACAATAAAAGCAGAGCTGAACTTGACTTGTGCAGGTCTTCAGCAGGTCTAGACCTGGACTTGTCTTAGCTTCTGAGTCTGACCTCTCAAAGTCTGGACGGCTTGTTGCCTCAATCCAGAGTACTTTTTTCTCACACAGATTTGGGTATGTCTAAAGAGGTTTTTTGTCCCCTGGATGTGTCCTCTGGATTGTTTGACTCAGACTTGTCTTGATTATGAGCGTTTTTCTACTCAGTTTTTGACTCAATGGTTTTATTTTGCCGTGGACCAAGACTTTTCTGTCCCCTTAGGTTTAAACTGATCAGATTTCGGTTCTCAAAAGTCAAGGTCGCTATGACCTCATCTATCTCACTCTTGTGAACAAAATATCTCAAGGACACCTTCAGGGATTTTTTTTTTTAAATCTGGCACAAACATCCACCTGGACTCAGCATTTTTCAAATTAGATTTTGATGGTGAAAGGTCACTGTGACCTTGCATCTGTCTCATTCTTGGAAACTTGATATCTTAAGAACACCATGACAGAGTTTTCTAAATTTGGCACAAACATCCACTTGGACTCAATGATTAAACTGATCAGATTTCGGTTCTCAAAAGTCAAGGTCACTGTGACCTCATCTGTCTCACTCTTGTGAATGCAATATCTCAAGAACACCTCAAGGGAGTTTTTCAAATTTGGCACAAATGTCCACTAGGGCTCTACGATTAACTGATTTGATTTTGGCAGTCAAAAATCAAGGTCACTGTGACCATGTCTGTCTCGCACTTGTGAATGCAATATCCCAAGAACACCTTAAGGGATTTAAAAAAAAAATGGGCACAAATGTGTTATTTCTACTTCTCTTATCTTGTCTTGTCTTATCTTAAATGTCTAACAGGATAAAATAATGAAGGTCAAAAGGTCAAAGGTCAGCTTGACTGTGACATCATCATGTTTTAACGTCATATCTCAGGAACAGAAGGGGAGACATTTGGTCAGATACTGAATTGGTGACTAATCTTGAAACTGTGCTGATTGTATAGATCTTCTGTGTGTGAAGCATCCATGTTTTCACTGACATGGATGGAGACTGTCAGAGGTTCGCGGAGGTTTTTTCTTTTACTTGGACATTTCTTGTTCTGCAAAGCTTTTAGATAATGACTTGTTCTGGCCTTGAAGCTTTATGACTTGGACTTGGGGATTTCTGAGGGTTTTCTGACTCTGGATTGTCTTTATCTTTTTGTCTCAGGGTTTTCAAACATGGAATTTTTTCACTCTCAAGCGCTTATATAGTTACCCCGTGGACAAAACATTAACACAGTCTGAATAATCCTGTCTGAGTGCAGGGACTAATATTTCTGAGCGGCAGATCTTTGGTTTCTATTTGAGCATGAAAAGGTTGATGAGGTCTGACTCTTGGAGATTGCTAGATGGTGTTCAAGCTGCAGGCAAGCGATCAGTCTCAAACTAAAACGGCCAGTTTGGTTTTGCAGCTGTAAATGATGAAGACTGAAAAAGACCTGGAGGCTCAGACACTAAATAAACTCTGTAACACAGAAGAACTGTTGAGTGAGCAAATCAAACCTCAGAACAGAAAAGAGGATTTGAAGGAAACACAGATGTTAACTCCCATGTTTGATGTCTTTTCAATATTAAATTTCCCTGAAACAAGTTCATATGTGATGTTTTGAATATGTTTGTGAAGGTGGAGAAACTTTTTTAGAAACCTGCCCTGTGTTTCTCAGTTTTCACCAGCAGATGATTTCATGGTTGCTAAAATAAAATTGGAAATGTGAGCGACCTGGAAACCTTTTCTTTAAAATGTATAACTTAAATATGTGCGGAGGCTCTGAGCTTTGTGACCTTTGCAGCCAAAACAGAAAAGTGTGAGAAGTTGCTGCAGAAGTTTCCTGCAGCTCAGCGCGACCTTTAGGACGAAGCTCTGTCAGCTGCTGGTCGTCTTCCAGGGACGTGTTGCGTAACTTGTCAGAGCGCCTGAAGGCTGCTGAATGCTCACCTGAAACACAGCTGCACTTTGGATTCCTTCATCACCGTCTCTCCTTTGTCACTGAGCTGCCTCGCTCAGTTCACATCACGTTCGGTTAAAAAAAAATCTCATACTTTCACAGATATTACTTTTTGCTACAGTCAGCTGATAACCTTCTAGCTACAGAATATTAAAGGTACACTTCACCCCCTGAAAGGTCACTTGTATATCAGTTACTCACCCCGTGCTACTTTGATTTCCGAAAGTAAATGCTTTTTCTCACATGCCTCCACGGTAAACAAAAAAGCCAAAATTTGAGAAAATTCGTAATGAATTGAAGTCATTGGGGTCCATGTTTAATGGTTTACAATCTCTCAGACAACTTGTGCAGCACAATCCAATCGTTTATCCAGTCATATACTCAGGACTTGACAAACAGACCTTTCTGACTGGGAACTGAACTGAACGTGAAACTTATCTATGCTCTCTTCAAAGCTAACTACAGTGGAATCCATCCACCCATATTCAACTGCTTATCCGCAGCTAGGTTGTGGAGGCAGCAGGCTGAGCAAAGCACCCCAGACATCCCTCTCCCCAGCACCTTCCAGCTCCTCCTGGAGGTGTTCCCACGCCAGATGAGATATAGGGCCCGTCCCAATACCCCCCTTGGCCCTACCCCTACATTTGTGCGTTCCCATGAGGGGTAGTGGTGTCCCAATTCCTTTTTACGTGTAGGGGTAGGGGGCATAACGAGGGGTAGTGGGTATGAAACTAGCCCTTCGGAGTGAGGGATTTCAGATGCTGACTTGCCAGCGAGGGGTAGACATCGCCATGGCTACCACCGAGCAAGAGACGGGGAAAAAAAGTTCATACATAGCTAATGTTACTGTCGTCAGGTTGCTTGCTAGCTAACTAGCTAGCTCGCACTATCTGGCGTCTGTCATCTGTCCTGTTCTGAAAAATGGTTGGATTTTTCACATTACGATAACACGCCAGCTAGTATAACTATGCTGCCTCGTAATGTTAGCTGGTTAGCTAGCTAGCAGAAGTCCCCTGTAGTCTGTCGTTCATCAAACGAAGCATGAAGAATACAGCAAAAGAGATAGGAAGGATGAACTCAACTGGAGACTCCATTGTAGATGCAGGTTGGAAATGTAGATGGCTCGCAGCTTCCTGTTTAAAATAGTTACGTATGCGTAAATGTAACCGACGTGGTGACGTAGTGAGTGGTGCTCCAATTCCTAGGAAAAGATTTCTACCTCTACCCCTCGTTGCTTCATTTCGAGGGCCAAGGGGTAGTGGGCAAGGGCTAAGGGGTAGTGGACAAGGTGGGGGGAGTATTGGGATTGGGCCATATAATCCCTCCAGTGTGTTCTGGGTCTGCCCCAGGGCTTTCTACCGGGGGGATGTGCCCAGGAGGATCCAGATCAGATGCCTTAACCACCTCAATTGACCCCATTAAGGCCCAACTCCAATACCCCCCCTTGCCCACTACCCCTTGGCCCTCGAAATGAAGCAACGAGGGGTAGGGGTTGAAGTCTTTCCCTAGGAATTGGGACACCACTCACTACGTCACCCTGTCGGTTACATTCACACATATGTAACTATTTTAAACAGGAAGCTGCGAGCCATCTACATTTCCAACCGGCATCCACCATGGAGTCTCATTCATCCTACCGATCGCGTCTGCCACATTCATCATGCTTCGTTTGATGAACGACAGACGACAGGGGACTTCTGCTAGCTAGCTAACCAGCTAACATTACGAGGCAGCATAGTTATACTAGCGGGCGTGTTATCGTAATGTGAAAAGTCCGACAATTTTGCAGAACAGGACACATGACAGATGCCAGATAGTGCGAAATAGCTAGCTAACAAGCAACCTGACGACGGTAACGTTAGCTACGTATGAACTTTTATCCCCATCTCTTGCTCGGTGGTAGCCATGACGACGTCTACCCCTCGCTGGCAAGTCAGCATCTGAAATCCCTCACTCCGAAGGGCTAGTTTCATACCCACTACCCCTCGTTATGCCCCCTACCCCTACACGCAAAAAGGAATTGGGACACCACTACCCCTCACGGGAACACGCAAATCAGGGGTAGGGCCAAGGGGTAGAGCTAAGGGGGGGTATTGGGACGGGCCCTAAATGTGAAGGAGCAGTGGCTCTACTCCGAGCTCCCTCAAAATGTCTGACTCCTCCCCCTATCTCTAAGGCTGAGCCCAGACACCCTACAGAGGAAACTCATTTCAGCCGCTTGTATTCACGACATCATCCTTTCGGTCACTACCCAGAGCTCATGACTATAGGTGAGGGTTGGGATGGAGATGGACCAGTAAATTGAAAGCTTCGTCTTCTGGCTCAGCTCCCTCTTCACCGCGATAGTCCAGTGCAGCACCTGAATCATTCAAACCGCCGAACCATTTCATCTTCATTCAGATAAGTGAAACACTTAGAATCTCTGGGTCTGACTACAGTGGCCAGCGCAAAATCACAAATGTCCCTGTCTAGAGTCAGTGTTTGGTTTGTCTGTTCTGGGCTACTGTAGAAACATGGCGATCTGGATGAGGACCCGACCCCTAAGTAGATATAAACAGTTCAGGATCTTTAATTCTTCACTCTACACAAACAGTATTTATAATGTTTAATAAATGGCATTAGCTCACTAAATACCTGACGAGACACAGCAGGTCAATAATCATATCATACAGTCGTTTGGTATTCAGTGTTTTGCTGGAGGACACTTGGACAGGTGGAGACAGGGATCAAACCGCCGACCCTGAAGCTTCTGTATCTACTCTGAGCTCTAGGGTTGTATTTATAGCTGTGTTTGAGGTTACTGTCTTATATAAGAAGCCTGTTTGGTAACGTGATCCTCCCACTTAAAACATAGGTTGGTGTTGGTGTGTCTGCAGTCA